CTTAGCTTTATTAGATTTTTGAGCCTATTATTCATCCATTTTGGTTCATTTCTTTTTGATAAAATTTTTTTACATGGGATAAAACTTTCCCTTTGACCCAGAAAGTATAGTGTTCAAAAAACTGTTATTTTGATAGCCCCATTTCGCCTTACCCCAGTCAACAGATGATAAGGGGTTCTCAAGGCCCACCCGTAATTGCTAAGCAAAAATTTTGGGATGTTATTTGGTTTATCGTACTATCGAAATTTCCCATTCAATGCAAAATGAAATTTGGGTTTGTGGTCGCTGCACCCAGTTCCTCGAAATTTCTAAATTTTAAAAGGGTTTTCATTTTTTGCCTAACTAATCAAGCAGGTTTTTTTCCCCTTGTGGTTCTGTCCCCCAAACTGCTTCAAAAAAACAATCCTGAACTCCCCTCAAAAAAAGTCGTATGATTCAAAAATTTCCCCACTAAAGAAATTTTCCAAATTCAATAGGGACTAAATTTAAAAATCCCCCTAAAAATTACTACTTTATCGTCCCTTTGGGGCCCTTTAAAAAAATTCCCCCCATAGTAGTCCCCCTTGGTCCCTATCAAAATTTGGGGGAAACGGTATACACCCTTTAAAATAAATTTTTATGCCCCCTAAAAAATCCCTACCCAAAAACAGACTCTGTAGGGTTTTATTTCAATTTTAATACCCTTTTTTTTTTGAAACATTTTCAAGCGATCTCAGACATAAAATGCCCCCCCACCCCCCTTCCCGATATTTTCTATCAAACTGGGAAAAATTTTTAAAACCATGAAAATGACTTTCCGCAGGCTTTGTCCCGACTTTTTAAATTTAAAAACCAAAGTCTCATTTAAAGGAAAAATCATAAATTTTTTACCTGAAACTAGCAACTAATCCAACTCGTCCATCTTTTTCCTAGCCCTACTAAATTTTAGCAAATTTAAACATTGAAAGACTCTCCTTTCTTTTTCCCTTTCCTGCCTTTTTCTTTTTTTGTAGTAAACCTATTACTGTCCAAAAACCCAAAGCCCTCTGGCTTTTCAATACCCCCCCTCGTCTGTTTATTACTATTTTCCCCTAGAACCTTTAATTTTCTACACGGGGACTTCACTTTTTTTCCCCCAAAAACCCCAAAACCCACTAACAAATTCCTAGGGGTAAAGTCCTAATTTGTCCCTCCACTGCAGTTGCCGTAAAAACCCCCCAGACCTAGATAATTAAACCCCCATCCCTGGCATAAAATGTCTTTTTCGCCATAAAAAAGGGGCCCCCAGTTTTTAAATTGAATGTTACCCCATTTTCCCTTACAGAATTTGTCCACCAGAAATTTGACCCCCAAATTTGGGCCCCAGGACAACCTTTTCTTTTCCCAAAACCCTCCCTTGGAAAAACCCCCACTTATGACGGGGTTCCCACCCTTACCCCTAATTATTTCTATTGCTGCCTATCCCTGCAATGGGTTCTTCACCCCAACGTCTCCCAAACCCATCTTTCCTCCAGCATTTGAAACAGAAAATTTGGGAAATTGCCCCCCTTTACCTCTCATATGTGATCCAAAAGGCTAACAATATCTTCCATCCCAGTCCGGGAAAGAAAAACCCCTCTGTCTCCTACTCCTGTCTTCAAGCAAAACTCCCTATCCATATCCCAAATTGGTTATCCCCAACAACAAACAATATTTTACCTTCCTTGGTGTCATTCGTCGTGAAGTTTCCCAGTAGTCGATCGCTTTCCTTTGGGGTTTAGCACTGAGAATTATTAGATTTTTTCCAAAAAATTTTCCACGGCAGTCTCTTTTTTTTCACCCCGTTTCTACCTTTCCATTCGTCTTTTTTGATCGTAACTTCTTTCCCCTCGTCCACCCTGCCCAAAATTTTCCCCTTCTTGACCTGAGGACTCAAAACAGGAGGATATACGAATCTTCTTTTTTTTCTTCGGTCAGTCGCCGAATCTCCATCTTCGCCAACTTCAATTTTTCCCTTTAAAGCTTTTGGGTTTAAATTTTGCTCGTGGGGGGGCCTCTTCCCTTAAAAATTCGTAGAGAGCGCGAAAAAACAGGCCCTTCCCACAGAGCTAAGTACAAATCATAATTCCGCCCTATAGGGGCCCTTCCTTTTTGAGCATACCACACCCGGGGGAGTGTCCTGGGATCACGGAAAAGATTTTCCCTCTGCTGGGTGCGTGATTTTTGTAGGATCATAGTTTGAGTGGAAAAAGGGTGAAAAATGTACTTTGTATTGTCTTTTGGGGAGGGGGGAAAATTGTGCGGGGTCGAACCCTGGCCTTCCAAAAATTTTTGGAAAAAAAATTTTCCCCTTATACTTTAGATTTTATATTTTTTTCTTTTTATAATAATGAAAAAATTTTTTTAATTTTTTTTCCCCAAAAGAACTGTAGAAAACTTACCCAACCTTACTATAAAAAGCCCCCATTTAATTTAGCCTAATCCAACTAAATATTTTTTTTTAGAAAAAGTTCCAGTAATTTTAAAAATCAAAAACACAATGAAATATTTTTTTTACGTTAGGTTCAGGATGACTTTTTTGGGGAAAATTTTTACATACACAAATTTTCGCTTGTCCCTATTCGGCAAAAAGGAAATTTCATTTAAGCCAAAATCGCAAGCTTTACGGGATTTGGCACGACACACCACCAACAAAATATATAAAAATAAAATAATAAATTATAAAATTTATTTTAATATATATATATATATAAAATTTATATTTATATATTATATAAATATATATATTTTATGTTGCTAAATTTTTTCATGTATGTCTTTTTTGACTTCTTTAAGCAATAATTTACGAGTCTTTTCATTTTCTATAAATTTTAAATTTTGGGATTATGTGTTTTTTTCGATTCTCTTTTTAAATTTTACTTTTGGTGTCAGTATTTTTAATAAAATTTTTTTTATTTATTTCTTCAGCGATTAAAATTTCTTTTCCCCAAATTTTAACCCCTTTTTTGTCACTTTTAAACCTTTTTTTTTCACTTTTAAGCTTTTGTTTTCACTTTTTAACCCTTTTGTTTCACTTTGAACCTTTTTTGTCACTTTGAACCTTTTGTTTTTAACCCTTTTAAAAACCTTTTTTTTTTTTTGTCACTTTTGAACCCTTTTGTTTCACTTTTGAACTTTTTTGGCCTTTGAACCTTTAGTTTTTCCTTTTAAACTTTTGTGGGCACTTTAACTTTTGTTTCACTTTTTAAAACCTTTTTTTGCACTTTGAAGGGTATTAAATAACTTTGAACCTTTTTAGTCACCCTTTACCTTTTGAGTCACTTTGAACCTTTTTAGTTACTTTGAAGCTTTTGTGTTTACTTTGAACCTTTTGTGTCCCAAAATTTGGGAAACCCTTTTTTGTCAAATTTGGGAAACCCCTTGAGTCCCCTTTTTTTTTTTATTTTTAACCTTTTGGTCCTTTGAAACCCTTTTAGGGCACTTTGAACCTTTTTTTGGGCACTTTAACCATTTTTTGGGAAATTTGAACCTTTTTTGGGAAATTTGAAATTTTGTGTTACTTTGAAATTTTTCTACTTTGAACCTCTTTGGGGTCACTTAGAAACCCTTTTTAAATCACTTTGAAACCCTTTTTTAGTTACTTTGAAAACCCTTTTGAGTCACTTGAAAACCCATTTTTGGTCACTTTGAAAACCTTTTTAGTCCCCTTTGAACCTTTTGGGTCACTTTGAACCCTTTTTAGTAACTTTTTAAACCCTTTTTAGTAACCCTTTTAACCTTTTTGGGGCCCCTTTGAAAAACCCTTTTTTGTCACTTTGAACCTCTTTAGTCACTTAGAACCTTTTGAGTCACTTTGAAACCCTTTTTATCACTTTTAACCTTTTGGAGGGTTTTAAATTTAACCTTTTTTAGTCACTTTGAACCTTTTGAGTCCCTTTGAAAAATTTTAATCAAATTTGAACCTTTTGATCCTTTGAAACCCTTTTTTTGTCACTTTTAACCTTTTTAGTAAATTTGGAAAACCTTTTTAGTCACTTTTAAAACCCTTTTTAGTCACTTTGAACCTTTTGGGGTCACTTTTTAACCTTTTAAGTCAAATACATTTTAATCTTTCATTTTAACCTGGATTTTTAACATCAATGTTATTTTTAAATCTTTTTTTTTAATATTTTGTTTTTTAAAAAGATAAAATTGGGAAAAGATAAGGGTTGGGTAAATGATAAAAATTGGTAAATGATAAAGTTTGGGAAATGATTTTAAATTATAAATGATAAAATTGAAAAAATGATAAAGTTGGGGAAAAGATAAAGTTGAAAATGATAAAGTTGGTAAATTTATAAAGTTTGGTAAAAAGATAAAGTTGATAAATTTATTTAAAATTGATAAATGAAAAAGTTGGTAAATGATAAAGTTGGGAAAAGATAAAGTTGAAAAAATGATAAGTTGTAAATGATAAAGTTTGGGAAATGATAAAGTTGGTAAATGATAAAAAAATTTATTTAAAAGGGTAAAGTTGGGAAATGATTTTAAATTTTTGGGAAA